TAAGCAATTTTTTTAAATAACATAAGTTCATGACATGTTAAATATATAGTATAATTTGCTGGTTTTAAACATACAGAATAATAATAAATATAGTTATGAAACAACCATAACATAACCCTTATGTCATAGAACATCTTTGATTAACTTTTCATTACCTACACCAAATGTTGACTTATGAAAGTACATTTATAACAACCATTTATTTGTTAGACTCCTGTATTGTCAAACCATGTTGCATACATATGCATTCAACAGACTTGCATGACAGTGCATTGCTGTAGAGGACAAATAAAACACGAGACAGGTGTTTAGAAAGAGTATAGTTTATTTAGTTTGACATGCAAACAAGACAAACTTTCAGAAAACAACCCGGAAACATTATAATGCGCGCGCTCGTGAATATAAACCGCGGTTGTCTTCAATAGACCTTCTTTGCTCAACAGCTCAGCTGAAAAACAAAAGCAAAACATTACAACAGTCAGACAAAGAGCAAAGAGCATAGAATCACCAAGAGGTGACACTCTACAATTTGGGAAACAATAACGCGCTTTTTGAAAAAATTTAATAAAAACAAAGCAGCTGCTCCATCGCGACAGCAATGAGATCCAATGGACGGCCGATCGGAAAACGGGGCTGTTGCTCTTGGTCATTCTAAGCTCTTTGCATAAAGTTAAATCATAACAGTTACCATGGTGTCTATTTCAAACTATAGTTTAAAATAGACTATGAGTGGGCCTCCCTACTCCCACCCACCATAACCCTCGCAGCGAGGTCCCACTGCCGGCCCCCCGTAACTCAAGTCAAGCATTTACTTCTGTCACCCTTTAAGGATAAACAGGTAACAGATACAAAGAATGTGTCGATGTGTGAGGCATATTCAGTATATCAGGCATGCAGCATAGTAGAATACGGGGTTGATCAAGCGACAAAAATTAGGACCAAGTTCTCAGACGGGTGCTCAGGCTGGACATTTTCCCCATTGATTATGAAATAGTAATGAAATATGTACAAACGTAGTACAAATATGTACATCTCACATCTCGTTTTGAAAAAATAAAATAGAAATGAGAGAAAGTATATTAAAATCACAGGTATAAACAGTCGCAAGAAGTAAAAAAGAGTAAATAAACATATAAAACATTCAAATTATTTATTGTTTTTTGTAGTTTTTCTTTTTCTAGTGTTAGTGTAGTATTATATTGTTTAATCTTATTAAACATCATTGGAAACTTCTAATTTCATTAAAGGTTGTTTATTGTGGACGAATGTGCTTTAGATTTTTAAAATACACTAACAAAATATTAAAATATTCGCACTGACAAAAACACAATACTGTTCACTGAACCCAACAAGGGCCTCCTAAGGCACAGGTGTCAAACTCAGTTCCAAAAGGGCCGCAGCCCTGCACAGTTTAGTTCCAACCCTAATTAAACACACCTGATCAAACTAATTGAGTCCTTCAGGCTTGTTTGAAACCTACAGGTAAGTGTGTTGGAGCAGGGTTGGAACTAAACTGTGCAGTGCTTCGGCCCTTTTGAAACTGAGTTTGACACCCCTGTCCTAAGGCATCTAACAAGTATTTATACAGTGGTTCTCAATTCCAACCCTCAAGTCTAAACTGTTCTTTAAACTGGGATTGTCAAAGTTTGAACAATTTGGAGTCTCTAAAGTTGGTCTGCAATCTTGACTGTACCAGGAGGCAAATATATATGAGCAACAGATCTGACAATGTTCACTTGTGTGATGTTCACTCACCATTTTAACCATGATAAAGAAAAGCTGCAATCGCACACTGGAGTCCAATCGCACACATTTATACTTCTATTTTCAGAGATTTTATTTTGCTCAGTGTACTGTTAGTCAATTAAGACTACAGTTTAACAATGTCCAGTCTGAAACTCTGCTGTTTAAATAAAAGATCATCCCAGTACACTATTTGTTGTGTTAGTATGATACGGTAATATAAAACAACATATTGTCTAACAGTAAAACCTTCCTTGTGCTTCCATTTGGCTAAACAGACTCATAGTAAATTATAGTAAACACAGTATATGGCACTACTGGTTTGTTAAAGAGATTGCTTCACCCTATAATGAATATTCTGTCATCTTTTACTCAGCCCTTACTATGAGTTTCTTCTGTTATACACAAAAGAAGATGTTTTGAAAAATGCTGGAAACCTGTAACTATTGACATCCATTGTATTTGTTTTCCTACTGTGGACATCAATGGTTACAGATTTTCAGATATGTATCTTCTTCAGTGTTCAACAGAGGAAAGAACCTCATAGGTTTAGAAACACGTGAGTAAATAGTTGAGGGAGAACTCTCTCTTTAATTGAGTAAGGAGTCATTTAGAAAACTCACAGAAATGATGATCAGAGCTTCAGTTTGATTCACAGGATTTTATTTGACGTATTAGCCAACAATACATAAAAGCAGTTCAGCACAAAACAATTAAAAAAACAATTCATTACAAAACAATCATGAACACTTAATTATAAAACAATCAGTCTCTCTTATGACAGAACACCAGATTCATTAATGAGGTAGAAAATAGTTGAGCAGATCTTTGATGACACTTTAGAGGAGAAAACTGTGACAGCACTGGAGTTAAAGTTCAGTTCAGTTCAGTTCAGTGTGGTTTAATTGTCACTAACCCAGAGGCCTGCGCGACTTCCTCTCATTTAAACAAAGCGTGGGCACATCTGAGGTAAACATCAGCAGTGGACACACATACAGTGCAGGACAAAGCTCTCATCAACACACTGACACTGAAAAGTAAGGTCTGAGGGGTTTGGAATGACATGAGGGAGTAATTAATAACTTTAACAGTCTTGTGAAATTTCTGGAAATGCTGCTGTTCTCCTCTTCGCTTCTTTAGTGTTTTCTAAAATGAAGAAAAACAACACAAAGTTATTTCAGCAGTGATATGAAGGGCTGTCAAATAAGACTTGTGACTCTAAAAAGAGCAGAAGAGAAAAGAACAGGAATAGCATGAAGCAAAGAAAGACTGAAGATGTAGTTTTGTGCTCGGTGTGTTCCTCTACCTCCTCTTGTCTCACTGCTGCACAGGATTTGGGCTCGTTGGATTGAACCACCGGTGCTCTTCTAACTGATGTAACTGCAGTCGCTTCTCTGGATTGCGGACCAAACATTGGGAAATCAGGTCCAGGCAATCTGAAAAGTGACAGAGAGAGTGTGAAATATGTCTGCATACTCAAGATTCATGAACGTGTTTAAATCTTACAACATCAAATAACAAAACATTCACAATGAAATGACTTTAATATCTACAGTAACCATTATATTGAACCCTTTTCTATTCGTGACTGACATATTTTATTCTGTCACTGAGGCTGAGATTGTTCAGAAGAGTCTGCTTACCTAAAGATAAGGTGAGGTCTGTCTGGAGGTCTCCAATGATTATCGAATGCGTGTCGTAAAAGGCCAATCGTGTATGTAATATTTCATACAGGATGAGGCCTAATGTCCAGACGTATGCCGGGTTAGGAAAGAATGTGGGATCCCTCAGAACCTCAGGCGGCGTGTAAAGTAAGGCTCCTGTAAGAGAGACATTTTCAGAATTCAGTCATTTCATAAGACAATACTGTGACCAAAGAAACTCCCACAAAATGCCCACTCACCTCGATAATCACTGCTGTTGAAAGGCTCGCTGGTGATTAGCCGAGCACAACCAAAGTCAATCAGTTTGAGCTCTGATTGGGGTTGAGTCACCAGGATGTTCCCCGAGTGGATATCTCCATGGAAAACTCCACGCTCAGCGCAGAACTTGACAGCTTGGATCAACTGATGCATTAACCGGCGTGCGTGGTTTTCATCAATGTCCAATGAACTTCTGAGATAATAAGCCAAGTTCTGGGATGACTCGGCGTACTCCAGAAAGAGAACGAAGTCGTTCTTATTCTTAATCCAGTGGTGTAATGTGATGATGCTGGGACAAGGTGGGTCCTTCATCAACTTAAGCATGATTGCCACTTCTGCAAGCACAGGTTTGGAATGGCCATCCTAGAAAAAAAACAGATTTCAAAGATATTACCAAAGCAGAATGGCACAAAGTACAGAAACAAAAACTTCATGAAGTAAATAATCACTAAGCTCCTGTTTGGACACATGTTTGCTTGTATTTGAGCATTTAGTCATGCAGTTTAAGCTAAAAGAGGACTCTACATGTGTGTGTTCTGTCTGTGTGTATGACGCAATGATCATTTTTATCTGCATTAATGTTAAATGAATATTAATTAACTCCACAGCCCTACAATTATGTGTTCAAAACTAGTCTCTGGGTTTATTTCTTCCGCTGAACACAAAAGAAGATATTTTGAAGAATGTTGATAAACCAGTAAGCAGTGACTTCATAAGTATTTTCTTTTTCTACAATGGAAGTCAGTGACTCCCTGTTTCCAACATATCAGCTTTTGAGTTCAGTTTAAAGTGGTCCAGACAGGTACGGGACAAGTGAAGGATGAGCAAATGATCAGCACATTTTTACTTTTGTGTAAACTGTTCAACTTACAACGTCGAGATAACGGTCCTGTTCACGCTTCTTGATGTACTTCAGGGCAACCTGCGGAAAAACAACAACAAATGAAATGAAAGCCGACAAATGATTTATATTGAGTAATCAGGAGGAAAATGTTGACTGAATTTGAAAAATAGTTCTCTACCTTTGTTCTCTCATTAAATACGTGAGATCCCAGATACACCTTGCCAAAACTTCCTTCTCCAATCAGTTCTTTCACTTCAAAAAGACCCACCCTAGATCCTGAAACACAGAAAAACAGCAGGGAGATTTACTTGGATTGTCTGGTATGAAACAGATCAAATAAATGACTCGAATCCTTTAAATCTGGATCTAATGCAATGAGCTGAAAGCAGAAACTTCCATCAGAATTGCAGGAGTAAACTGATTACTAATTTATAATAATAAAAGGAAATGATCACTTACCAAGAGTGAGCCCAGAAGCCTCTTTAGGCTCTTCAAGAACTGACTCTGGCTCGGACTCGGACTCGGACTCGGACTCGGACTCGGACTCGGACTCGGACTCAGACTCAGACTCAGACTCAGACTCAGACTCAGACTCGAACTCGAACTCGGACTCGGGCTCGGGCTCGGGCTCGGGCTCGGGCTCAGGTTCAGGCTCAGGCTCAGGTTCAGGTTCAGGCTCAGGCTCAGGCTCAGGTTGTGGTGTAAGATGCTGGACTACATCTGTGTCACAGCACAGGAAAGGGCGCGTTGCAGCCTTCCATACTCTCTTGAAGAAAGCAGAGACTCTTTTGCCTTTCCTTCCTTTCTTGGGTTTTTCTAAAATGAAGAAAACAAACAGAAACATCTCCATGAACAGAGCTGCAGCTACAGCGCTCAGCATATTCATATATGCAGTACACCCCTTTTAGAAAATTTATATTTTTATCCATTTCTCAGTGAATCTGGGTAATATATATTGGTGCATTTGAACAAAACAGATTTATCAAACAGATTTATTTATTAAAATAATAATTTAGTCACAGAACATCTTTAGAAATGGAAAGATAATAGATTAAAAACAATTAATATCATGCAAAATATTGCAAAATTTACAAACTACAACATTTCAACAAAATTGTCAATATTTTTGTTTCCCTTAGATTTTTGCTAATTTTGAAAATTTAATTTAATATTTTCCCTGAACATATACATTTGGGCTACTAATTTTTGAAACATTATTTAGTTATTTTGTTAAATAAGCTCCAGATTTGGCTTCAGTTCTTACTAAACTAATGTACATGCACAAATATAATATTATAAAGCCTCCTATAGAAAATCTGAATTTAAATGAGAGATTTGTGGGGGGTGCACTCATATATGTTTAGCACTGTATTAATACACAACCAACAGTACATCAAATGACACTGTCTGATTTATAAGCTAAAAACAACAAAGCATAAAAAATAACAGACGGCAGAAATAAAATGAACCACATTCAGGATGACTCACCATCAGTCCCATCAATATCAGAGGGGTCTTGAACAGACGAAGGCGACTCAGGACAGGCCGAATCAGCATCCGTCATGTTCTTAATATTGGAGAGGTCATGGACACTGATTGGCTGAGGATCTTCCCAGACCTGGCCTGGCAGAAACACCAGCTCAGTATCAACATGACCTGTGAGGGCCATCGAGGACTCTGGACGGGCCGGATCTGCATTCGGCACATCTGCTGTTTGCTTGATGCTGAAGGGGCCCGGAACACTCAACGGCTGAAGATCTTCACAGACCTGGCCTGGCTGCCACACCGGCTCAAGGTCTGCATGTGCTGCGACGGTCCTGGAGGGACCTGGAACAGGCAGGTGCTCGCAATCATCGACATCTGACCGTGGTTCAAAGGGAACCACTCTGTTCCGGTCACAGCAAAGGAAAGGGCGCTTCACAGCCTTCCATGCTCTCTTAAAGAAAGCAGAGGCTTTATTCCCTTTCCTCCTTTTCTCTGTGTTTTCTGAAATAAAGAAAATGAACAGGGAAATATTAGAAAACTCTATAATCACAGGTTTAAAATAGACAACGTGCTGTAAATTAGACATATAAAAGGCAATCACACAAAAGAAACAACAATAATAAATGTATAACTATAATAGAAAATGTTTGAAAACTAAAATTAATTATGTGGAGTTGCAAATCATTTCTATGATGTAAAATGACAAACACAAGCTGAAAAATAGTCGGTAAGTCATAAGACCATATTAGACATCAGGAAAAATCCTAAAAGCAACTATTTAGCAAAAATATTTTTCTGTTATATTATTATTAAGGAGAAAGTCAGAATGTGAGAATATAAAACCAACTTTACCTCAATTGTATTAATTCATCCCTGCTTGAACAAATAAAGACTTAAATATAATATTCTCACTCAGTTTGCTAAAATATAACAAATATTCCTCCACACCATCAAAAACTAAGAAAATTACAGTGCAGATCTACACAAAGGATTTAAATTAAAGTAAAATTAAAATGATTTTTTATCAGATACATTAACAAGGCACAATTTCTGTTGAGTGGAAAGGAGAAACTTAAAAACCAGAATGTCATTACATATAAGAGCAGGGCTCTATCACAAAAATATACAAAACCATAACTACACACACAAAAAAACATTACAATGAAGAGACGTTGCATATTTGCTACACTAATAACCTTACATGGCGATATATTATTATTATTTTACATTTTACTTCATAATTTACTGTATTATTAAATAATACGTGGGAATACACAGTTTTTGTAAACTCTCATCTCACCTGTTGGGCTTCTCATCACGGTAGAAGGTGAAGGAGAAGCCATCGTGTCACTTTGATGATTTTCGTTGACAAACTCAGTCGTGATCGTATTAACTCGATTAAAAAACGCAGCTGACGTGTTATTTGCCATTTGAGATGCAAAACAAGTCGCTAAAGTCGTTAAATCAATGTTCACTGTACTCGTTCGTTTGTCACTCTGAGTAAATTCTGAATTCTGACCAGTGACGTAACGGCAATCGAATTCGTTCTTTTTATTCGTCATCGGTGGTGGGGGAGAGGGAGGGGGGCGCAGGCCGCGGGAGGATCCAAGATGGCGCTTTGATCGGTGAAGTTCGTTGATCGTGTTATGATATAAGTTCTGTCTGCACAAAAAAACAACCCAAACCCATCGCAATCTGTTGTCTGAGAGACGAGGCGACTTTTGCAGAGTATTTCTGTGCGAATCCTGAGATTTCTGAAGCTGTTCGAGGATTTCCTAGAGAAGACTAATTATAAAGAGCACATCTTTAATCAGTTTTTATTCCGTTCTTGTTTTCTGATTATTTCATTAAACATTTGTTGTGTTGTGCTTTTCACTTCATTTTTCCTTTTATTTATTTACTTCCTTTTATTTAATTATTTCCTTTATTAACATTTTTATTTATTTACTTTGTTTTAAATGTATTTTCCTATTTTATCTGCTTTTTTTATTATATTTTTTTTATTGCAGGTTGGAGGAGATTGTCCATGTCCCACATGGTTGAAGAAAGAGGAGGTGAGTGTTTTTAATTTGTCATTAGTTTGTCTTTGGTTTGTCACTGTATAATGCTGTACGATGTTTGACTGATATGAAAAAGATCACAGAAGTTACCATGAAACAAAAAATATTTATTAAAAAGAGATTTTGATATATCCCAGCCGGCATTTCAACGGTGATTCAACGTTGAATCAACGTCAGGTCTATGGTTGGATCAACGTTGAATTACCTTTCGATTTTGCAAATTGGATCAACGTTTATATAGTGACGTTGTTTCACCGTCGGACCACCACCGGTGATTCACCGTTGAAATCACAACGTTGTTTCACTCTTACCTTCTTCATGGGTGAATTGTGGTCGTTTTGTAGACGTTGAATGAAGGTTGAATTACCTTTCGATTTTGCAAATTGGATCAACGTTGATACCGTGACGTTGTTTCACCGTCATACATTTCAACGTAAGTTAAATAGGAATTACATACAACGCAAAGTCCATAAAAATAGCAAACAAATTTTTACTAATTAAAAATACACGACACAAATACACAACTTAGTCTGTGTATCAATTTATTTAATTCACACCTCATTATTTCAATTATTCTAAATATACAGCAACATTTACAGCATACATAGTTCATTAAAACCATGCAGGTTACTATACATGCTGTACACTCAAATACAGAAAAAAGGCATACAATTAAATAGTCACTTTTTAATTAGGTTTCATGAATTAAAGTTAATGTTTACTAACATGAACAAAGAACAAATACTTGTACAGCATTTATTAATCATTTAATTAATTGAAATATGTCCTGATGCTATTAAAATCAAAATGTATGCTTGTTAACATTAATGCACTGAGCTGACATAAACTGTACTTTCTTTATATGAAAGATGCTTCATTGCTCTTTGTTCATGTTAGTAAATACATTAACACTTACTAATACAACCTTATTGTAAAGTGTTACCGTCTTCAGAAAGACAGATACTAACTAAATTAAACTAAGTAACTAAACTATGCTTCAATTCTGTTTACAAAGTTTACAAAATACCCATTTTTAAAGTGGCTGCAGTAAAAAAATAAAATAAAAAACATCACTCACAACTAAGAATCACAAGTGAAATACATTACATCTGTTTGAGGTTTTATAGATTGATAGAAACAGATAGAGGTAAAAGATGGCACTGGGGACAAAGAATCAAGTGTAAAACACTAAAACATCTATATCAGTCTAGCAGTTAAATACATATTTATTTCTCAAACACCAGGTGAGTTTCCTACAAAATTAATAATGAGGTTTGCTATTCCAATTCATTGTGAATGAATGGCTTCACATTCACAATAGTGAAAACTCATGCTATAATCTTAACCTGACATTACTCCTTCACTTTGCAGGTCTGCATGCTAAATATTTAGTTTTTTTTTTTTTTTTTTTTTTTTTTTGTATAAAGTACATCTATTGTGTTTAGCATTACTGCAGCAAAACTGAGCACCTGTGACAGTGGAACATAGACAAATATTTCAGTAAATCATCAAGAAAATGTGTAGAATATATGGTTTGATTCTCTCTCACAAACACAACAGTAAAAGCAATTTGTTATTCCATTATTATTATTAGTATCATAAAAATTGCATGTTCACATGGGTCTTATAATAATGGCTCACATTTGTGAATGTAGGACCACTATTTCACTATTACATGTCACATTAAGTGTTCATATAGGTTCTGTAATTAATTACTTGTGTCATCCCACAAGTCCTGTTAATCTTTAGAACACAAACTAAAATATTTTAGATTAAATGCTCCTCATCCTCTACAGACAGCAATGGTCCCAAGATGGTCATTGTCAAGATAAGGCACAAAACACATTGTCAAAACGTTCCATGTGACTTCAGTGATTTCAACTGTGAACATACCAAGCTCCAACAACACTTTAGTGAGGCAAAACAAAACATTAAATACAATTGTGTTTGCGTATATCTCTCCCTCATCAGATCAGCGTGTGTTTACTACGAGCAGTAAGCACACACCATGACCTGTTGTGGCAAAGGCAAACAAGTTATTTTTACAGTACTTACTGTGATTTTACCTTTATGACAAATGTACTGGACCTGTTACACATATCACTATCTTTTATGAACACAAATTTCACTGTAACGGATGCTATTGTTTTGCTCCAGTTATACCTTTAGAGAACACCGTACTAGTCAGACATCCATACAAAAGCAGAGAGTTTGGTCTTGTGTAGCAGAACTGCAATAGATGCCTGTCTGTCTAGGCTGACACTGGTTTAGGCCATCAGTATGTCCTTGATGCCCTCAAATGGAGCCTCCAGAAAACCTGCAATAAATGAAATACAAGGTTACAACTAAGTTGGTATCAGCTATTATACAAAGTGAAATTCAAATATTTATTTTTTTATTGAATCCAAATTAGTCCTATAATATCGCCACACTCAATAATTTTGAGTCATCCATCTGAATATTCCTAACTAAGAGAAGTGAAGAATTAGGTGTGATATCGTCAGGAAGCCCTTCGCTACCACCGGTGCCAGCATTTCCAGAATTCAAATTTCAGATTCTCGAAAAAATTGCTTTTATTTATTTTTTTAACCAAGGCTGCAGTAAAGAATCATGAAACATTCAACACATCTAATAATTACAAGTTGTTGTAAACCATTATATGTACTGTAAAAGCTGTTTAAAGCTTTTTAGACATGGTTGAGAAAAACTCTAGAAGGAGTAGCACTTCTGCAAAAGTCTGCATGTAGGACAGAGAATTAAAGGGATAGTTCAAAATTTGTATTCTGTCGTCATTTACTGACCACGTTGAACACAAAAGAAGATATTTTGAAGAAAGCTGCAAATCTATTCAACCATTGACTTCTATAGTATTTTTTTCTACTATGGAGGTCAATGTTTACAGGTTTTTAGTTTTTTTTTTTTCAGAATAGCCTCTTTTGTGTTCAACAAAATAAACTCATAATGGTTTTAAACCATTTGGGGAGTAAAATGTGAGTAAATTTTCATTCTTGGGTGAACTATCCCTTTAAGTTGGAAAAGACCAGAATTCTTAAGTAGACCCTTTTCGCAAGACAGATGATGCATTTCATTTGTCATCTTAATCCTCAAGTTTTTAATATTTAGATTTATTTAAATAGCATGTTTATTTATTTGTTTTAATGACATTTAATAAAAACAACTTCTTAATGACATCACATGTACTGGACCTGCTACACATGTATCACTATTTTTTTTAATACAAATTTTACTGTAACGGGTGTTGTTGTTTTGCTCCAGTAATAC